AGTTCCAGTCTTTTCAACTCACGGTATTTTGTTGAGTTAGTTTTTTCATAGGTTTCCAAATTAACTCAATTATTTGCCATGGCAGTTCCCACGCTCTTGTATACATATAAGGCATATGCAATCTTTATTCTGGGCATATCGATGGTCCCTTGTCGTCTTCTTAACCTTTTCCGCTGTCTCATGTACTTATGTGGTTCTTAGAACATTTTATGCCGTTTTCGAAGGGCATTTCCTTGGTCAGGCTTCAGCCTTCATGCTGAATGGCTTTCTGCCTATTGTCTCTTCTGAGCGACATAATTTCCAAGTAGTTGTCCTATGGCTGATGTGAATGACATTTATAGAACGGGTCGTTAGTTTCAGTTGAATAGACTTTGCGGAAGTGTTTTCAGTTTTCCCCCTCCTTTCTTCTGAAACTTTCACATCCCCCTTTCACAGTAGTCCTAAGTTTTTTCATCATTTGGTACATTCTCAGACGCCCATTGAACTGTTTAATCCAACGCACGTTCCCATCGCTGACCACTTCGATGGGCGAGATCACGGCGATTTTGAATGCCTCAATCGAGATGGGATGGTTTTTTGTACTTGCCGATTCGGCTGAAAGACTATCAAGGCTTCCCTCTTGGATATTACTCCTGTGATGCCTCAGCTCCTTTCTTCTGATTTTGATTGTCCTCCCATTTTTTGTGAGGGTTTACTAGTACTGACAGGCTACCTAGATAGTTGTACACTAATGTTTGGATCTTTCTGACTCTTGCAATCATTTCGAAAATATTTAAATAAATGGAAATTTCTTAACCCTGGTTTCATCTCATTTTCTTTCTGGTCTCTTCCGTAATGTTGTCGTGAGCTTTCTTGTATGATAAGTGATGGGTTTCATTGTTTGGATTCTATATTGCAAAGTTCTACTTAGATTAAATGAAAGGTTACTTTCATTCCAAAAATCCATACTGTTGCCGAATCCCTTTTTCTAGCGTCCAGGAAGCACTTGCGCACCACACAGCTTCTATTCTTTTATTGCTGTCCATTTTGGCGATTGGCCACTTGTTTTAATGTTCTCTACATAGCAACTTTCCCATTTGACCTTAACAAAGTGGGAAAAATGCAGTCTCATGGGCAAGTTCGATAAAAGGTCATTTTTCTGCTGAGCCATTCGAGGCTTCACTGCATCCAGTGGGAGACGGGCAGTAGGTACGATTTTGGGTAATCGATTCGCCGCACGCGGCTGTCGCGGACAACTCATTCGCTGTTATTACAGCTCTAGCGTTCTTCATACAGGTCAATCGATTGCGGTCCTTATTCAAGGCATGATTCTACTGTTAGTTCCTTTGTTCCTGTATTTCTTTTTCTACAGCTGCATCCCACTACATTCCTTCGCGCCCGGCGTCCCTCTCGCCGCGACGCGATAATTTCGTTCCTACTGCACCACACCCGTGCTAAAGTCATCTCGGGTTATTGTATCACTTCTCCGTACATTGTTCAAGAACATTCCCAATTGTGACCTCACCAAAAACTTAGGTGGATTAGTTTTCCTCAATCTCTTTGTCAGCATATCATTTCCGTAATATACCTTTCCTCTGGTTAATATCTTTTCCGAAATTAATTTCCTTTACTACCTTTTCCTTTTTCTTTTACCCTCTCGTTCTGCTTTGTTACCCAATCTAGGGAACACTCAAACTATAAATCACCAATTTATATCCTGTGTTGGATGTATGTTTCGTGTGAGATTGTTTATCAGAAAATTTCACAATGGAAGCCGATGGTAACCGTGAATTGTTTTCGCAAAAGCTGCAAGATTTCTGACTGACTGTTACGTTTTTAGGTAATTTTGTAGAGAAAAAAATCGTAAATCGTTCCCGTCAGTTCGATCCTTTGCCATGTCAATGTACAATGTAACTCTCATAATCAACAGCTCCGAGAAGCTCCGGCGTTAAGTTGCAAGATTATGTGGGATCATGAGATTATTCATCTGCCCACAATTCCGCCAGCGTAGTATGAACTTATTGGATGAGTGCTAGTAGAGAGGGCCTCCGTTATGCTTGAGACTCAGCAAGTCCCATACTTGGGTTTTGCCCTATAACTGTGCTCCATCTAAGTTGTTATTCGGACGAGTTGTTTGTGCTTGAGACGAGGATTCATAGAGGCGTTATAGAATTTCTCTAGAATCAGGTTATACGAATTCCATTCTTACGGAACAAATTGTTGACAGTGGGTGGATATGAGTACCAGTTCAGTTCAGGTAAAGTAGTTTTGATTATAGTTGGTCTGCTCTGAGTTATCCAGTTATCCTTAGAGAAGGAAAACAAAACTACCAAAGTTTTCGTATGTTTGGTACTGCCTTGTTTGCCCTTCCAACGACATGGACTAGGAGCTTTTTTTATAGAGAGCTTCCCAAATTTGTTTCTACTTTGTGTTTACCATAAATATTTTTTGAATGATCTCTCTTCAGTCGGTATTGTTATCTGAAAAGTCAGATTTTTTGTCTGGTACGGGCATCGGAAGACAGTTGAAAATTAAATTACCTCAGGCAAAAGTTGACTACGCAATAGTCCACCCAGTAGAGAAGTCCGCTATTTGCCGCCATGCTTCTTTTTGGTTTACGTTCTTGTTCTGAGTTTAACGGTCTTGATAACTGATTTACTGTATTAGGTTGATGCATAATTACTGCGGATTTTTTTTCAACAGATTTTATTTAACGGAACGATAAAAAATACTGAATAAAAACATGATCAAATAATTGCTCCGAAACTTATCCACCATCTACGTCAAGCACTGCTTCCCATTGGCTAGATAGTCGGATTCCAAAAGCGAAGAAGTTTTGATCCTTAGGGGCGATCCACGCCTTAACATCGGCTATCAAGTCATCCAAATCGACGAAAGTTCTATTCCCTAGCCATTTTTTCAGCGAGTGGTTGACGAGATAATCCACAGAAGTTCCTGCTGGTGAATATGGCAGATCTATGAGCAGATCCCATTTCTTGGTTGGCTTTGGCTGATTGTTCCATCGCTGAAAAGTTACTGAGATCGCGGAATGGCTCTGCCACCTTCCAACCTTTCTCGAAGTTGTAGAGCATAATTCTGCGTATATGCGGACGGTTTTCTAAGTACATTTTGTAGAGGAAATCAAGCAGATCATCTCTAGAAAAAGCCTGAATTCAATATTCAAATTCTTTCGTGAGAAAAAAAGCCGCGAAAAAATCCGCAATAATCATGCATCAACCTAATACTTAACGTTTTAGTTGTTGTCCGTGTCAATTGATCCTTTTTACTCCCCTCCTTCTTACTCTCCCTCTTCTTCTTCTTCTTTCAACCCTCCTCGTCGTATAGTCATGCTAAACTCCTCTCATTGTCTTCATCTTTGGGGCGGCATTGGGAAATATGACGAACTCCGTAAGTATGAGCGTAGGCTGGTATTCGTGTTTTCCTTGGAAGTTTAAGTAACTCCTAATCCTCCACGAAAACAATTAATTGAACGAATTGAAGTCGGCATTGCTTCACAGGATAACTAATCATGTAAAAGCTTGACTGAAATCATCAAAAAGGGGGTGGGTCACCAGGGGAGTAATTTGGTTCAATACTCATTTGTTTACCGAATTGCAAAATATCGGAGGAGATAATATCTGGCGTACCCTCAGTTTACTAGGACACCTTTGTGGGTATTTTTGAATAAACTCTTAAGTGAGCTGTGAGTGAAGCCAATTGGTAGGTAGCAGTTCCTCGCTGACTTGTTTTATGACCTTGGATCAGGGTGTCTGATGGGTAGAATTGCCGAAAAGCAGCACCTAGGTGGCTTTCGTATGGGGTTCTTAGGCTAGCTCTCTCTAGCAATCCCTAGTAATTCAATTGATGAGTTTCCGGAAATTTTCTTCGGTAATCAGTAGGATGTAACGTAGCTGCACTGATCGTGAGATCAACGGCTTCATTGGTCATGAGCCAGGTATGTAGTGACGGTTGTAGGCGGGTCGAACGCTCGTGACCCAGGATATCCTCAAGTTATACATAACTGTTCTGCATTGTGTCTTCGAGGTTTTCGTCTTATTGATAGGGAAATAGACAAACCATCTAGTTATTGCCATATTCAATCATTGACTAGTCTGTACTGACTGCGTTACTCGATAATTACAAGAACGAAATTAATTTTTGCTCTTCAATTTCAATTCCGATTCAAAAATGTCGAGTTTTCTCTGATTTTTTTTGCCCATCTGAACGACTTTGACTTTTTGTACCCATAATTCCATATTTCCTCACTTATTGTTGGTTGTGGCTCATCTCGAGCGTATCAAATAATTAACTGAAATGAATGCTTGTTCTTCTTCGGCAACCCATGAGTACTACTGGCTGTTATTCCAACTCTTTATTGTAGTTATCAAGTGCATGCTAGAGGTCGATAGATTGCGTCATTTCTGGTCATTTATAGCAGATGTTCCTTACTATAAAGATAAGAGTTAATATGTTTGTAAATTTAACCAATGACTTGTTTGGCTGATCGTAAATGACGACAAACTAAGCGATACCTGTCTCTGATTCTTTGAACAAGATAGTTTGGATAATTAGTAGAAATAATAGACGTTTAGGGCGGAGGTGGTGTCATGGCAAAAGGTGCACTATCGCACCCGCCTAGGACAACCAAGCCTTCCATCTCTCCTGGGTCGGCGAATTGCTACCAGATTCGACTGGGAGGATAAAAGCACTGACTTGAACATTGGCTGGCCACCGCAAGTCATTGTATAGGCCACATACGCACTCATTACGCCACTACGATTCTGAATGGAAGTCGAGTGCGGAGGCGCATCCCTCAGGCGGGATTGATTAACGCCAAAGCTTTATCTTTTATCCTTTTAATAGACGTTAGATGGGGTTGTAATCTGCAGGCATTCCGTTGCATTCTTAAGTTCGGAGGCCTCCGGTGCGAGCCGATTTCTTTGAAGGATAAGAATTCATTTCTGTGCTTATTTTTTCAAATCATTTCTTCTATGTGTATATATTCAATGTGAAGGATTTGCATGGAAGCAGATCTTTTGGCAGTGGAAACGTACGTACGTAGCCGATCAATCAATAGATCCGTTCGAATTTGTTGAAAATTGGATTTTCACTGGCGAGATGATTGACAGGCACAAGATCGGCGACGAATTGCTCGCGACCCTTACGCTATCATAGCATTGCGTCATAGCCACAATACGATAACCATCGTAGTGACCGTATTCGCCAATGAAGCGTTAGGAAGCACCTCATTAGGTGGTTCGTAAGGTATTATGACGGTGAGATGGGAAAATGATTGTATAGAGAGACTGTTGGAATGAAGTCCAGATTGGGCGGAACCATGAGATAGAGGTTTCAATCATTGTGGGGAATGTGAATTGGGCATGGAATCGGGTACAGGTGAAGGAGGTATTTAATGGGTCTATGTTTCCCATGGCCTTCAAACACCTTCTCTTCAGTAGTGTGACTTGAAAAAACAGATTCGAAAGCCCTCTTATAAACTTCCTNGGGACAAAAATTATGGGCTCTTTCTGAGATAGCACAGCGACTGTTAAAGGCACAGTTCACGATAATTCTATGGGCGGGAACCTCTCGATCGATGTCACGTCATCTCGTCAGACGAATGTCGAGACTATGCAGATTGCAACTATTGTTCTAGGGCCCACACTCAATCAGCTGGTCGCCGAGTGATGAGGCGGTGTTTTTCTATCATTCTTTTTTCCTCTGTTATTCTTTTTGCAGCCGTAATCCCTTGTTTGATTTCCTACTCCTAAAGGCTGAAAAATATGAGTTACTTTTGCTGTTACTAGGGGTTTTTCGTTTACTTATGCTTATAAGTGAATGAATTTGTGCTTACCATGGTCTGTTATTCGTACCAGGACCCACACGTACGCAATGAGACACATTGTATAGCTCGTCTAGACGCCCCACTCTTCTTCATTTTTCTGGTTTCATTCTCGTCCAGCCCCTTTTTTATCGGTTTTAACAAGCGTTTTTTCATTTTGAAAACACCGGTTCACGCAGTTTCTCCACCTTCATCGCACTATTTTCGACCTTGTATTCCATTTTTCATCATAATATGGATTACCCAAAATTATCGTGAACTCTGCCTTTAAGTTGGGCCAGGAAAGAAAAACGTAATTTACAATGTATATGGTATATGGCTTGTTGTACGTACCACGGATCGGGTTTCCAGAGTGTCGGAAGACTTAATATGCAGCTGCACTGTAGTAATAACAGGTCAGTGATATCCCCTTAACGACCTCACAACATCGACCGACGATTGGGGGCGGGACATAACGGCACTGTTCAGCGCCTCTTTGTTATGTGGGCAAACGGTCACAAGTTACAACAACTAGTCGCCTAGTGGCTTTCGATGGCATCAGCGATTTTCTTGAAAATCAACAGTCCTAGCTTTCTCACATTTATTGTATCAGGGAGAATTTGCGCTTGTTTCGTTGTCGACCATTCCAGCTCGCCGGTTGTATTTTCGAGTGTTTACAGTCTTACGACCTTAGTTTAGGAGTTCCTCTGAATGGCTTTCTTTTCTAGTTTGAGTACACCTCGTTAGCTGCTCACCCCTTATCGAGCATCATTCCTAAATTGTCTACTTTCAGCTTCGGATTCCTGTTCCCACAAAATAATGTTCAGTTCGATTAGTTACTGCTACTTTTCATATTTGTCAATTGAACGCAGCTTGTTACGATCCTTCTAAAATCAATCTAGTCTATTCTGCTGGAACATATTCGTATAAATAAACAGTAAAGATTCGCAAATTGATTTTAGCTCTTCAGGTGCTTCATCATTACCTCATCCATCCGAGTGCACGCCATTTGAAATGCGTGGACCACCGCCGGCATGGATGCCGCCACATCCACCCGATCGGGACCACGACTATGAGAATAACTATGAAGATCCGGAAGATTGTCGAGAACGAGGTAAGGTTGGCTAACGGTCAGACGCGGTTCTGATACTTGGGGGAGGTAAGTAGTTATGGGTCTACCTTGCAGTAATAGTCTTCAGAACCGCACGCATTGTGATCCCATGGTACCAGCACCTAGGTGATTGATTGAGGGGATAGGGGACCTTAGCCAGAAAGACCTAACCCCTGTGATGATTGTTGTCTGCTGGGTTCGCGTAGTTATAGAAGCAGGATGACTGGGTCCTAGAATGTCCAGCCAAAACGGGCTTAGGAAAAAAAGATTCTGTCAGAAAATGGAAGTAGTCGTAAAACCGCTGAAAAGGACTTGTACGATGTTATTGCCTCTATATA